GCGTATGCACCGCAGCGACTTGCGGTGGCTATAAGTCCGTAGGCCCGTAGCCGTTGCAGCAGGCATCTGGCATGGCAAAGCTGTTCTCTGGACATGACAAGAGACTTGGCCAATCTTGGCCAGCATAGTGCAGGGATGTGCAGGGGAGCGCGAGGGGAGACTTCGACTGGCCTTGTCGTTTGAGTTTGACCTTGAGGTATCATTTACACGCTCTTTTGGGACTTCTGGCGCTTCTGCACTTCGCGTACAGCGACCTGCCTGCAGAATGTTCCGAACCAAGGTTGTGCCACGTTGTGCATGGGTAGGCTGTCTTGTCAACTTGGGCTTGCAAAAAATTGCGCCACTCGACGACACAGCTTCTAGAGAGTCGCAGCGAACAAACTCTCATGGAGTCAGGCATTTCCGCTTCGGTCGGCAACATTCCAAACTCTTATAACCCTTCAGCCTCAATAGAAAGCCAATAGACAACCAATAATTTTATTGGTTTTTATTACCAATCAAAACCAATAATTCTATATTGGTTTTGATTGGTTTTCTGTTGGTTTTGATTGGTTTTCTATTGGATCTTATTGGTTTTCTATTGTTTTTTTTATTGGTTTTCTATGTTTTTTTGGATTTTATTGGCTTTCTATTGGTTTTCTATTGGTTCTTATGGGTTTTCTACTGGTTTTTATTGGTTTTGATTGGTTTTCTATTGGGTTTTATATTGGATATTATTGGTTTTCTATTGGTTTTCTATTGTTTTTTTTTTAATGGTTTTCTATGATTTTTTTGGATTTTATTGGTTTTCTATTGGTTTTCTATTGGTTTTTATTGGTTTTTATTGGTTTTCTATTGGTTTTGATTTGTTTTGATTGGTTTTCTATTGGTTCTCTATTGGTTTTCTATTGGTTTTCTATTGGTTTTCTGCTGGTTTTTATTGGTTTTCTATTGGTTTCTATTGTTTTTTTTTTGGTTTTCTGTTGGTTTATTGATTTTCTGTTGGTTTTTGGTGGTTTTCTATGGCTTTTCTATGGCTTTTCTGCTTCTTTCTGATGTGGAGATTGGCTGATTATATAGGCTCCTGTGTTATGTTCGCTATAGCCTCATATAGCCTCTATTGACTCAGTCTGTGACTCTGTGATGGGGATCTCATGTAGCAGGCGAACAGGGAGAGCATGCATCCTGTTGTTGTTGAACATGTGTCGGTCATGTTATATCCAGCGTGGTCAAGGTCAGGATATTTCAGGATGAGATTCTTGAATTTACCTGCACTTTGACCGGTGGATTGTACAAAGTCCTGCTGGAAATCGTTTTTGTGCAATCGTTTGATCACGCGTTCACTAGGAAGTAGGAGGACATCCAATCGGTCCGTCCCAAAACGATGGCATTACGGCTGACCACCCTTTTATTTTGGAGGTTCCTGAGAGACTGAGAGAACTGGACACAAGCATCCCTGCAATTGTGCAGTATTGTGTAGCTGACGACGCCTGTGCATTCATGAGCGTTCATGCTCTGAGCGGATCGCTCTGACCAAAAGTCCCGACCCCAGACAGCACAAGCTTCCGTATGTAGGTTTGGAGGTCAAAATGCGGGTCGCCCCATGGGGCCCCACGCCAGGACAACTCCAGCAAAAGTCTTGCACTGACGCGCTCAAGACCATATCCGGTGCAGCATGTCAGGTAGTTACTGTCCTGTGTTGTCAGAGCCTGCACAGCAACATGTCAGTCGAGGATTCTACACCATTCTGATCCAGCAGTGGCTTCTGCTGCAATTTTTCCTGCACATCTAGCTATTGCACATTCCAGAGGAGTCCATCCCATTCTATCCCTCTCTCACATCGTTAGAGGGTTGCCGCTTCAAAGCTGGGGACAACGTGACACATGCGGGGTTAGACATGTTTTTGAGCATATTTAACTATTTAACTTTTATTTCCCAGCAATACTTGAGGCAAGAGTCTTTCGATCAGAGCAGCTTCTCTGCTGCTTGCCTTTTGGTTCACGTTCTGCTCCACGTCGCTGGACCGCAGTTTTGCCAAATTTTGTATCAGGGCGTTTTGGAACAAAAGCCATGTCGGTCCCCACCTCAGCTTGCAGGCTTTGAGCTTCCAGTTCGAATTGCCGCGGCAGCACGGCCGAATTCAGTCCTTTCGTTATAGTATTATCATAACACCATGGCTGCCGCCTTCAAGGCCAGCCTCACGGGGATGGGACGTCAGGAATGTTAGGAATCCGCTTTTCAAGAATTGCTTTGCTCAGACCTTTGCTCGAAGATGAGGGAGAAAGGCAGTGCAGCAACGACCTGCAGGTGAAAGACGTCGCGCTCGATGGGCAAAGCGATGTAGAACAGCAAGCAACAATACGATCCAAGAGTCGGACACAACTTCGGGTTTTCCCACCTTTGTTTTTGGGTGTGTCGGCCCCTGCACCAGTCCTGCACCCTACAACCTTAAACCATAAGCACCCCAAGCTCTAAGAAGCCTGTAGGCAACGCTAGAAACTCAAAACGAAAAAAACATAGCAAGCCCTCGAAGCCCTGCACGCCCCGTGAACCCCCAAAAACCCCCAAAAGCCTACTGCAAAACAAGCCTACACAAACCCAAATGCCCTAAACCATCAGAATCCTAAAGCTTAAACCCTTAAACGTAGAAGCCATAGCCTCCCCGAAGCGTCACAAGCGCAAGTCCTAAGAACCGAACAGGATATAGTCCTGAGAATTGAATGGTCCATTGCCTTCACTGAAAGTGGCAGATCACAAGTATCGCATGTGCGAATCATTGGAAGCATCCGTGCTGACACAGGCCGAACACTCCGTCAACATGTTGAGATTGAGATTGGTGATCCGGGGCGGTGTTCCGAACCGATCAGCATCCTTAACTAATGCAGTTTTGGCAGCATGCAGCGGACAGTTGCTATCACAAATTGTTTTTTAATCTTAGAAGCTGGCAGGACATCTGCTCCGCAGAAGTCTGTGATAGTCCTCGTATCTTGGGGAGACCAGTATAATTCCAAGTTGTGCATATTCTATTCATCAAATCAATCATGGATACTACTTAAGTTGGAGACCACCTGTTCTTCGAAAAGACGATATAAAAAGTTCATCGCCAGTTATTAACATCAGTAGTTTGCTTGTTGTAGCTGATCTCCAATTCCGCTAATCAGACTTGCCCGATTACAACTTGAAATTTACTGTTGCTGTCGTTGCCACTGCATGATTGAATTGAGAAAGAAATGATGAGAAATGCATGTTTTCGATGTTTCATACATTTTGTTTAGCTCACCCCTGCAAGTTAGGAACAGAATCTGGACGAAGCCAATGATATGGAGGCTTCGCAGTTTTGTCACTTGAATTGTGGTCCCATGTTGATGCTCCGCTCACAGATTACGATGCTCAGGGAATTCCGTGTACACAACGCAATTTTCGCAATGCGTCATCTGGCGGCGTGCTCAGTTTTTCGAGATGATTATTCTCTTGACATGGTCGCCTTTGTTGAGGTGGCTACAGCCCTTGGAATTTGGGCCCCCGAATGGTGGTTGCACCATCCAGGAGTTACGAGTCTGACCGTGAAGGCATCACACCGTGCTTCAGGGGCCTGGAAGTAGGGAAGTAGTTAAGTAGTTCAGCGGCTGCACGTTTTCCACACAGTTTTGACTCTGGCGAAGTGTTCGTGCCAGTGTGCTGCCCTTGATGGCACAGAGTTGTAGAGATCCTGTGAATCCTTTGTCTTCTCGGAGGTTCTGCTGGTGCTCGCTGCCTGCCACGCAGCTGACATTGCCACCAAGAGAATTGGCAGCACGGACCCTTTGAGCTTGGCCAAAATCCAGCAATCATACAGCAATTCAGCCAGTGTTTTCATCGTTTTTCGCACTCTCGACCGCGAGGAGGATCGCACAACGAACTCGATGCTTCACACTTAGACTTTCCTGACTTCCAACTTGCACTTCATACATGCCAGCCATGAGACGTTGCAAGGCCTTACCCGAAAAAGACGCCTGACACAGTTGAGCAGGCGACTGGCTCTTTCACGCTTTTCTTTGCTCGCTGGGCTACCTGTACCGGGCGACAGGTTGCCAAAAAGTTCTACGCCAAGTCGCAGTTCGCGGCGACTACATTAGCTGCTTCTCGACTAAAACACTTCAATACACCAAGAAGTACGCGCGTTGATCAACATGTTTAGGGCCCCATGATTTTTGTTGTGCGCCGAATTAAAAGCTGCCTACGAATTCAGGGAACCGGAATCTCATGCGAGTTTGTTCTTGAGTTTTTTCATGTAGCTGCGACATGTCATCAGCAGGGTGATCGTCTGTGGGGGATTGTGGGGGACACCTTGAGAGACCTTGAGAGCATTAGCTGCAGTGGCGCAAGAAAGCAGAGACCATGTCAGGTGCAAGCCGGAATCTTCTCTTAAACGAATGATTCCAGTACGTCGCCGATGTCCCCGAATCATTTCCTGTAAGGGCACGCAAGCCCCTGGAACTAATTGAATGAATCATGTGAGCCCTTTCAAAACGCGTCATGCGAGCATGGTGTTTGAAGTGGGAGAGCCTTGCAGGGGTTCTCCAAACCGCGAGTTTTGTGTTTGTGGGGGACGGGGGGGGCGGAGGGGCGAGGGGTCTATTTCTCTTGAAGCCTTGCGAGCTTGCTTTCTTTGTTCGCCAAACCCGTCATGCGAGTATTGTGTTTGCAAGTGGGAGCTCCCCCCCCCCCTCCAACCGCATAAAGATCATGCCGTGAAAATCCGTGAAAGCTGAAAACACGCGCATCCTTTTCCAAACCGGTCATGCGAACGTTGTGCTTGCAAGTGGCGGGTGTGTGCCGCTCCCAACCCCCCCCCCCCGCTTGTGTTTTATTCGGAGAGCCTCTATTTCCCTGTATGTTTAACTGATTTTAACTGGAAACCATCGGAATGTACTAGGAAACACTAGACAAAGAATGCAGAATAATTCCTCGCCCATGTTTTTGCTACCCAGAGCTTCGCCCACACCGGGGCATGCGACAACCGGGTCTTTGACCCGCCAAGAATGATCGAATATCCTGTCTATGGTAGAATACCCGTCTGTGAATCAAGGTCGAGCAGTACCCATTTGCATTCAGCCGTTTTGGGTATACTTGTTGCAATCGAGAAGCTTGGATCCCAAGTCGTACGTCCATCACAAGCAGGGATTGTGGCTGTTGCAGAGTCCATCGTAGAGTGCCTCAGGGCGACGCACCTCCTCAGCAATCAGGTTGGAAGACAAATGTAGAGGTTGCAAGCAGGAGCCTGCCCTCCACCTTGCACTCCATGCAAACCCCACATCGTTTCATGCTCTTTGCGGATGTGCAAAATGAGGCTTTTGGAATGCCATCCTCGTCGTTTTGCTCAGTTTTCGCAATAGAGATTGCGTCCTTCCTGATGACACTCGTACGAAAGGGCATAATCGAGGCGAGCTGACCTGTTTGGCTAGAGAACTTCGCAAACATTGTGGCCAATGTGGTTGCGAATTTGAGATTCTGTCCCGAGATTGTGACAAAGCATCTTTGCGCAGGCGAGAACGTACCATGCCCTATACGCAGCTTCGCCTCTTGGACGGGGCAGAGGAAATCAGGGCGCAACATGATACTACGTACGATTGAGAATGATTCCATGGTTTCTTTTGTGTGCTGGGTTCACCAAAGCATCTGCGCCGACCGGGTCAAATTTGCTGAAAGGCTGTTCGTCATGTTTCCTGTTTTGGTGGCAACTCTTCATTCCAACGATGCGGGCGCAGAAGCAGCCACGATGCGAAGAGCCTTGCAACGCAAAAAACTGCAGAGTAGTATTGTACAGGCTTTGAATGCATGCATGCTCCAATCTACCCCACAACAACAATGTGCAGGCTTGTTTGCCTGCGCGGTGGCTGTCGACATGCGCTTGAAGTATGGTTTTTCCAAGTACCTGACTTGGCTTGTGGCAATACCTGCAGGACTGACCCGGGCTCATGAGTCATGCCTGTACAACTAAAATGCAAGCGCAGTCCTGGATCTGTTGCGGATATCATGTACCAGTTTGAATTGGACGAAACGATGGGACTGTTGTTTGGATGAGCCTGATTGCCTTGTGATTGCCAAATGTCTCACATTTGCAAGCTGCCGTGGTTGCAGGGGCATTGACAAGTTCCATCTACTTGGTTGTAGATCCGCCTAGCTCAGAGCATTGCCCCTGAGTCGAGTTATGTACACTAATACTAAATACTAGCACGGCCCACTAGTACCCTTTGGCCAGTTGCAGGCTGTGTTGTGGCAGACATCTTGACAACGTATTTCGTGAATGCAAAGTGGCTATTTGCATGGCCTGGTATGATGTGGTCAGCATTCGACACAATGCGATGACTCTTGGCCAGCGAATGGATCCGAGGTCACCCCACAATTTGTCAATTACCTAGATGACGGCCCCCTGTGAGCACGCTGAAGACAAAGGGGATGTATTCTAGCAGGGACCAATGAATACAGGGATCCAAGTTGAGGGGACGATACAATGCTGGGGCATTGTACTTGTCAACGCTCCGCGTTTCCGCCTCGGCTGCCGGGCTCAAGGCTGGAGAGACTGTGAGAGCAGTTGGCTGAATAGCTTGGGACCTTAACAGCTGCCTTGATCAGGGGCTATTGATGCTGTCGGGTCGATTAACTTCGGGTGGTTGCTGTATCTGATGATTCTGACGATGTTGAACGCAGGCTCGAGCAGTTTTCTGCCAGCTGAGCTGCAAAAGGGACATTCGTCAACCGGTCAGTTAGAGGCAGAAGAGCCTCGGTCTATCAGAGGTTTCGGTACTTTCTGCTTGACAGAGCTCATGGAACTTTCAGTACCTTTCCGTTTTATGAATGTTTTTGGCTTTCCCGCAGCTCGGGGTTAACAGTTGGCCAATTTTTGCTCCAAAATGCGTACACCTTCTAGGACATTTTCGTCTTGGAAGCAAAAACGGGGCGATCAGTCATCTGGCAGTTCCGATGCAGTTTTGTAGTTTTGGGTACCACGCGATTGATGCGTGAAAGTATGCGTCCGGACATCTGGTGGCTGGGAGCTCTCTGCAAAGGGGGTAGGGCGTAGGTACGATTGTTTTCGGAGTGGGAGGTGAATAAATCCGTGGGCTCGTGATCTCAGCCCTGGTAAACTGGTAGGCATAGGCAAATTGCACAGCTTGATTTTTAAGCTTGGCATTTGTCTTCCACCCAATCGAGTTGCTCAGGTTATTATCAAGCGCGGCAGAAAGACATTGACTCCGCTGCTGCAGGAGGCCAGTGTCCGAAAGCAGTCATGCACGGTGACACGGCATGCGCACTGCAGTGAGGAAGACATCCAATCACAAAGAGCATCCTCCAGAAGTAGACATCCCCCTGCAACCATGAGCACGCGGCCCAAGATGATGCTTTTGTTTGTGCGGCAAGGTACTCGTAGCAACGATCATACACAAGTAGGGCATCAGGGCTCGTTGGCAAGGTCGCTTCCACCCACAAAGGTCAACCTTGATGCCAGATGATGTTCTAGAAGCTGTGCAGATAACATGTCACTTGAAAAGGTCCTGAGTTAACGCGAGCAAATGGACAGGCGAAGAATCGAACGATCGGATTTCGAACGAGTCGCCTGTGGCTTCACGGTCTCAGCCGATTGAAGGTGCCTGTGCTGATCTTCCGGCAGCGTACCAATGACAACACAGGCTGCAATGTTCAGGCAGTTTTTTCGTGCACTTGCCAGCTTTTGGGCGAAGGCATGGACGGATCATCAGCGAAGGAAGCAGACACCGCCGGCCATTCTTTTCCTTATGTGATTCCCGATTGCGAGTGGTGCAGCGTTCCATGATTATGCTGCAAGTTATGCGAAACGTGTCGAGTGGAAGCGGACTTGCAAAGTCCACTTCAAGTCCGGAGAGCAATATGCTTGGACACTAAGGACGCCCAGTCTTGGCTGAGAGTCATGCACGCCGTTTTCCAAGCAAACTAGACGCTAATGGGAAAGGCCGTCTTGGAGAGGATGATGCGATTCAATCTGGTCGGATTTGGTCCTCGAAGGCAGAGCCACATCACTACCTAAAGTTGCGCCTTCTCGTGGCAAAGCTATGAGTATTTCAGGTGTCGCTGCATACGCCAGCATCTAGCCAAGGTGCTCTCAAAGACCCTATAATTGCTGTGAGGCTATGTGAGGCTGCTCCGTGCTCAGCCGGAGGTTGCCCACGCTGCGTAGAAGAAACAAATCCAATTGCCTTCCGGGAGCTGGGATTGGCCCGCGCGCGCACATGCTCATGTATGCTCATACTCGTAGCATCTCTTCACATCTCATCACTGCAGCCGCTCATAGCGTAAGGAAAAGAGTAAGGCAGGTAACACATGCTAAGCGCTAACCTCATATTTCGTTTTTTAGTAGTGCCTGCCATGGTGGAGAAAAGAAGTACCGGCTGGGCCGGTCGCAGGGGAGAGGACTCTGCCAAAAGCAGCCTCAGCACTCCAAGGCGAAAGCCAGATCTGCCATCGCGCTCTCTCTACAAGCCAGTGCTCTCAATTGCATCTGTCTATGGAACGATTGTCCTGCTGGTTTGGAATATGTGGACTGGAAAATCGCATGCTGATATTTCTACTCCGAACAGCGGACTCGGCTTGGAGCCAAGCTATACCCAATCGCAGATGTCAGAAGGGCAAGTGCGGCAAGTACCTGAATTACAGAGTGCAGCTCAAGTGGCCATGGCCAGATCTGCCGTGCAATCTAAAGCGCTTATAGCCGAGATCATGCCCCGCATGAGCCAGAACAAAGCGAAGGCGACGGACTCATATGACCGTGCTGGAAGCACCTTCGACCTAGCAGGTGACCATTTGCATGTGGGTTGGGGCTGGACTTATCAAAGCGCCAGCGGTTTAGTCGGGGACCAGCGTCAGCAAGAAGCAACCTCCGGCCTTGTGCCAAGGATCTTTGAGGAGCGCGGGTCCAGCCTAGGCTGGCAGAGCTTATTCGAGCTTTCGCTCACATCTGGAGAGAAGGTTGTCGCCAAAGACTGCTCTTTAGAGAGGCGAAGACCCTTGTCATCTTCACAAGAGGAGGGGTTTTTGGTTTTGGGTGGCGAAGCCATCGAATTGGAGTGTCCGTTTCAGCTGCGTGTCCATTGGACTGCTGCGTTGCTACGTCTGGCAGCCGGCGCAGAAGTCCTCCGGATTCGCTTCTGGTATGAAAGCAAAGAGAGGGGAGAGAACACACAGTTGACAACTCCGTTAACCACTGTGATGAGCTTAACCCTCTGGGATTTTGACAGCTCGCTGATGGCCGTATGCGGCAAGCAACAGGCCCAACAACAGGCAAACTTGCAGGCCTTGGATCGCTTCGACTGCTTCGGTGTTAGCGGTGAAGTGGATGGTAGTCCTCTCATACACATCGGCCGTGGAGTTTGGATTGCCCTGGAGCATCCACGAGCTGCCTGGCCTTCACTGTAATCACTGTAATTTTAGCGCTACGCGACCCGCCTCGGCCTGAGCTTCTGCAACAAGGCAACCCAAACCTGGGGCGGCCCGCTAGGGCAGGCTGAAGTGCCCCCTGCGGCCAGGGGGGAGTACCCAGTTTAGGCCAAAAAATGCAAAATAAAGGCGGGACAGAGGGGATTAGAGGTGGGGTGCTTGCTTTCGGACACCTACGGCCCAAGGCCTCGGCGGATCAAACTGCAGTGTGGCATCGAGAGTCGAGAGCTTGCTGCTCCAATATTCGAACATGTTCTCTAGAACTGTTTCCAGCTACTCGTGGGACGGAAAGGGCCATCCCAGATCAAATTTGCCTGCGTTCTCAAGCCACATGCTAAGAGCTGCTACACTGTAGAATAGGGTAGACACTGTGCCGAGATAAGGGTGTGTGTAGAGAATTTAGAATCAAGGGTGGGTACAAGCTGACTGAACCACCAAGTGAAACTCGGGTTAAAAGCCAGCCCTCTGAGATCCGTGGAGTAGAGACATGCTGGCTGTGCCTGGCTGTGCGCGCCTGTGAGAGATTGTTTCTAATTGTTTGGAATTGCTGCCTTCGGAATATAGTCAAACAAAATGAAGCGACTTGAAGTTTCGGCCGACTGTCTCGCTGCAAACGTTGCAATTTTTTGCTTGCCACACGAAGAGCTAGGGTGCTGACGGTCACGCAGCTGCCGTCAATGCACTGTACGATTTGCTAGGTACGGTTTGCCAGGTATACGAACTTGAGCTTGAAGGTGTGGGTCCTGAGTTTCGATGGGTGGGTTGGTTTGTTGGAGGATAAGCCGAACATTTGGCACATTGCTTTCACTCTGCAGCATGTCAGCTGAGCCGAGTCGACACAGATCTGAGGCAGTCCATGGACTTAGAAGCAACGGGACACGTGTGGTTGCGGAGCTGCGTGACGCTTCTCCTGGAACTCCATACTTTGCATCCGCTGGCATCACTGGTCCAATTGGCGTCACAGCAGAGGAGTCGATTTTTCTGCTAAGACGACACTTTCATGCTTACCTACAGCAAGTCCGAGCTTCTCCTCCCAGATCCTTTCTGCATTTTACGACATGGTATGACCTTCGTAGACATCCATGCGTGGACTCCAGTCCTCTGGGGCTTCCACATTGCTCCGCAGCCCAAGCGCTCAATGAGCTACACGTGAGCCAAAGACTTGAAGAAATAGTCCAGGAATTGTCGGAGAGAGGCGTCACTTTGTCAGGAGCAGTATTGGACGATGGGTGGGATGATGCAGGCATTCCTTGGCACGTGAACCGCGACAATTTTCCCGGAGGGCTCGGCTCCCTTGCAAAAGTTGCGAGCACTAAAGGGGTGGCCCTTGGTGTCTGGATGTCTCCTTGGGGTGGATTTGGGGAAGGTGGCAAGCGACGCGTGAAGATCGGGGCCTCCATGGGATTTGAGTTTCAGGGAGAAGTCCCTAACCTGCTCAGGTTTTCCGGCTCGCGATACTTCGAGTGGTTTTATAATGCTACCTTCAGATTGCTGAACAGCGGAATTACTTTTTTCAAGTTCGATGGAATTGGCACTGGTGTGAAGGCCAGCAGTGCGGGTGAGTACTCCAGAGATGTCGACAATCTGCTTTTCTTGATACAAGAGTTGAGAATGCAAAAGCAAGTCCGTATATCGGCAGTGACAGGCTCCTGGCCCTCACCTTGGTGGCTTTGTTCTGTAGACTCCATATGGCGAGGTGGTCCTGACCTAGGCCGCAAGGGTGCGGGCTCCCCCAGGCAGCAGTGGATAACTTTCAGAGATTCCATGGTGTTCGAAGTTTTGAAGCGTGCGCGATTGTTCCCGCTCTCAAGTTTGTCACTGGGTGGCTTGGTGTGGAGCCGAGCAGAGGAGCCCGGCGCGTACTTGAACTCCTTCGACCTGCAGGACTTTGCAGAAGAAGTGCAAGGTTTGGTGTTCACTATGCACCAGGAACTTCAGATTCAGCCATCACTGTTGGCTCCGGCATCCTGGGACACACTCGCTTGGCAAGTCAACATTTCTCGCAAACATTCGGCAGTTCTACCCGATGCGCACTGGCTTGGTGGCGACCCAGCACGAGGGGAGGCTCCGATGATAACGTTTCAATGTCGCTGTTGTGCAGCCTCAGTTGCCACACTTGCCCTGAAGCGCAGCAACCGAAGCCCCTGTTCGTGTGTTCTGCCAGTTGCGTGGCCCCCCCCTTGATAGTGCATGTTGCCGGCATTGGCGAATTCAACAGCTCCCCGACAAAGAAAGAGAACGGACTCTCCATCATCAAGATGGTAGAACGGACTCTCCATCATCAAGATGGTATATTGATGATGGAATGGCCCGAGGATGACTTGACATGACTTGAAAGTGTTTAGAGGGTTTTGTTATTGTCCAGGTCCCCGGTCAGGCAAGGCGGCCAGACCCGAAAGTTTTGCGTGTGTTCTCGGTGGGTGGTTTCTGCTGGTAGCTGGAAGGTTGGATAAAACTCACATTTCAAGACTGAGCTCGGTGAGCATCGAGGGCCGGCTCGCGGCTTGTTGAAATGGCGCAGAGCAACCCCTCGCGCGGCAAACTGTTTCACTTCACCCAGAGCTTGCTTTGCAACAACAGGAAGAAGATTGTTTCGAACCACTTGCATTTGGAATATGTTTTCAAGGATGGAGTTTCGAACCACGAGGGCTAACGGAGAAGCCACAAAGTCATTTTTTTGCGGCTTGTGCTTGAGTATATGATAAAAAAAGTACTTCTGCCCAATGATCTACCAGGTTTTCTATGCACGCACCACTGAATTCAGGATCATCCCCAAATCAACTTTATTCGCCGCATTGATCAAACTTCTTCGACCCCGGATTCAAAAAATCCGCCAGACACTCTCCCTCCTCGCCTTGTCCCCTAACTCCTGCTGCATTCCCTTTTTCGCCTCCAGTCCTTGCCCCTGCTCCTGCCTCCCTGCCCCCTGTCGTGGTTACTTTTCTATGGTCGGAAGGTGTCTTGAGCAATCCATTAAGGGCGGCTATGGCGCTTGCGTGGGGGGCGGTATGTGCCTCCATCCATCCATCCGAATCAGGCTTGTTTTTGTAGCCGAATCAGTTCGATTCGTGCTGGGGACCTAAACACGTGTAGTGGTCATCTGAGGGCTCAGATTCCTGGAGGCCAAATTTTCGGATATGTTCGTGGTTTTCCGCGAGCTTTGGGAGCCCTGCACATAATAAGAAATGTGCAGATGCTTTTTGGGGAGCATTGCACGATCTTGCAAGCTGAGGCGAAAGGATTCACGTGGCATATGTGGCATGCTTGAGCCTGTGTGCGAACGACGGGAAAGCTCGACCAGCTGCAAAAATCTGCCTCCTAAGTGGAAGAAGTCCCGTAAATCCCTAGGACTAGGCAGCACATACGCCAGGGGGCTTTGCTGAGGTTGCGATAGTTTTAAGGTGGGTGTGCTTCAAGTAAGGCAGTCGATGTAGATGGATAAAATGAGATAAGATGTCGCACTGCGCGCGTCGAAAACCGTCTGGGTCAAGGTATCTCGGAGGCCGTAATGCCCTTTAAGGCCGTAGGTCATGTGAGTTTATGTGCGTTCGCCTGAGCGTCAGGTGTACGGATATGGAGCTTTCGAGTGCCCTCCTTGTAGTGGCCTCCTACTCTGGCGGAATCCAAGTGCGGAAGCACAAAATGTCTCGTTCACCTTGCGGTCGGCTTTGGCTTTGCCGCAGGCAATGTGGAAATGTTCACAAATGTCAGCCATCGCATTGTAGCAGCTTTGAATCACATGAAATCACCAATTTTTGACTTAGTTGCTTCTGCAGGCCTGGCCGGGAGGCGCGAGACCTGTGTCGTGCAAGCTGCCATAGACAATCCATCACATCGCACCAGACCGTACGGTAGGTTTCCGGCATGCAACTGCATGACAGATGTCAGAAGTCAGAAGCTTCATCCCAGTCGCACTTGAAAGCTTTTCTGCGTGATGGTGGCCTTTGACTTAGGTGCTGTCGGTGGGCGTTGGCAAGTAAAGCAAATATCGGGCAAGCAGGCAAGGCAGTGCACATCTGCGAGCGCTCCAAATTAGGAAACGACCGAGCTTGCCAGGCATGGGGGCTGGCGGAGAGTGATCTCGCTTGGGATGCATCCTGCCAGCACAACTGTGCACAACTGCTACGGGATGCTACGGGTGTCAGCTCCAACGGTTCATCTCTCAGGCCGTGCCTCTGGACCATGCGCTGCTCTTGCGGCGCGGGCCTTTGATCCTTTGATGGTGGGAGAAGCTCCAAGTTACAAGTTAAAACCAGCAGTAGCCGCAGTAGCCGCAGTAGCCAAGGCTTGCGGCTCTGCAGGTGCGGGCTTTTGAGGCCTCCAAGCGCCAGCGAAAGACAAGTTTTCGCTGCACACAAGATAAACGCAAGAATGATCGTGTTTTCTCAGTGAATTTTGCACACTGCTTGCAGCTTTGTGCGCTTGTGCACTTTTTCCTTCGGTAGGTGACGCAGGCTGAAGTCCGGGGAGCTTTCTCGGAGACGTGAGATGAGTTTACTTGCCGGTTGCTGGATTGCTTTGAGCAGACGTCGCGCTACAGAGATGGTGTACGTTGCACATCCGGACACCTTTGCGCATATCTGGCAGGGAAGGAGCTGAGCTGCATCCCCAGTTGCTCATGACACGAGTTCGTCGGCAATGGTGCGGAATCCTGGACAACATATGATCTAAACAGCTCTTGGCCGTGGATCCGCAAGGTCCACACAGGAATCACATTGCAATTCTGATTGAACATGAGCATGACCACCGTCAAGGATGCTCCCGTCAACACGATGGCATCCACACAACTCTTCAGCGTGCAGGCTGAGGGACGAATGGAGCGGTGATGTCATCATCTTGGCCAAGAAGGGCGCAGTACTGGCACAGCGCAGCTTTGACTTCAGCTCCATGCAAACATCTCTCCCAAGATTGTACTTCACTGAGCCATTCGGTTTCGAGAAGAAAAGAGGCGGACTTGCGGCATTGCTCATTAGCAAAGCCTGTCGTGGCTGCGGCTGAGGGCTGATTGTTGGGACTTGACCGACCGATCAGCATCGATCAGCTAGACTGCATCAGGTGCATGAGCTGCAAAGTCTCTAAGACTATTTAGCATGGCGCTAGCCAGCAGAAATTCTTGAGCAAAATGCACGAGTCAGAAGGCACTTCGACACGCCATGTGCATTCATGTGCATCAACTGGTATGATTGTTGGCACTTTGGCCAGACGATGGGCTGCTGTGGCGCATCAGCAAAGCCTGCAACCCTGGCAAAAAGCAGGCCGCCTGCGCATGTGATAAGGTTTTCCCTACTCGTGCTATGCAGATTTCGCGAATTTCGCAGCTCCGGTCCCTGGTGCAGCTCAGGCATGCTCAGACCCTCGCTTCATGATAAATCAAGTGCTGATACTAGAAGCTTCTGAGCATCTGTAAGCTACTCCGACTACTCGCCCTTGCAAACTCTAGCCGGTTTGAATTGTAGGGTTTAGGGCTGCTCGAAGGCCCTTCAAGCCAAATCGCAGTTCTTGCCGTCTTGAGCCCGCCGTCCTTACGCAACTTGAAGCAATTCGCGATATGGACTCGCAGTGCCCGGAATCTGAAGTCTTGTTGTCAAACCAAATTTTCTTAATACGTCGGCCATACAGCCACCCTTGCCTACAGTTATTGAAAGAGAGCATTTCCACCATTCACGACAATTTTGTGCCGAGACTGTCCGTGACGTAATCGCGCGTGCGCACATCGTAGACCAATGAAAAGTGCCTCTATCACCTTGGGCTTTCAGCAAAGGTGCCTCAAAATTGCTCGCAGGTCTGATGTGATCCCCTCAGCTGGTGGCTGCTATACGCTTGGCAGCCCGGCACAGCTCCTCAAGTCGCCGAAGAGCACATCAGAAACGTTGATGACTCTGAAGCCTGATGCATCTTGGCTGAAGCGCATACTGAAGCGCTCTAGCGAATCCAAGCATCTAAACCTCAACAATCCTGAAGCCTAACACCTGAAACGCAAGCCGGGCGGTTCTTGTGTCATTGCACTCCATCTCCCTGGGTTAGAGTATGAAAGAGCTTTGAAATTTTTGCTGAGACTTGAGATTGCTTGGCACATGTGTACTCTCCCGTATTTTGCAGAACATGTGGGCGGGAAGTTGTTTGCAGAAAGGCCGCTTTTCGTGTCATCAGCAAGGCTGGAGGAGGTCAGCGCAACTCTTGTCATCCCTTGTCAACTTTATTGTTGCGTAAAAAGCAGCCAGTCCTCGCGCGCAAGGATTTTTCCAAGTCGTTCCTGATCCAGTGGAAGGGAAGCCGAGCATGGGGTATCTGAAGTTGGACGTCTGGGCCTTGAGCAGAGTGCTTGATCAGTTTTTATTGACACAAACTACGGAAGGCATCTTGTACAGATCGTGTTTGCTGCGTCTCTGAGGCACCAGCGGCCCTGAGGTGCAAAATCATGATGCGTTTACAGCGTGCAAAGAGCCGTGAGCCTCAAATCTCAGCAGGCGCCTTCCGAACTCCAGGGAAATTCCGGGAAGATACCGCCTGAGACATTCTTCGCCACTGCACGACGGACCTTCGCCACAGAGTGAGGATGACCCGGTCTACACATACTGCTTCTGCTGGATACTCAGAAAGGACCCACCTAAATTGATGTGTCTCGACGTGCAGGAGATCGGAGAGGCCGCTTCGTGACATGCAGCTTCCAATTTGCAAGTGTAGACGCGCATTGCCGCTCGATGTGTCATTCTTTTGTTGTGACTTGGCGGTGTAGAGTGTAGGGATCCGTGATGATCTGCGTGTATCCTAAGGTTTTGTCTTGTTTTGCAGGTGATGGCAGGAGAGGAGCTGCTGCTCTTTGAGCTGAGCCATCATGCCGGCGACAAATTTCAGGTTCATGCAAGAGTCAAGACTCAAGGTGGGACCAAGACGGTGCGTGATACATTCCACAGCTGCGATCACTGATGAATAGCTCAATCCAACAGCTTGTTGGGCTTTCTTTTCTCCGCTGAATTCGTGGGCAAGCCGGGATATGGAGTCCTGAGATGTCCTGACTATGCTCCACCTGAACTGAAACCAATAGTCAATCGAAGGTTTACTTTACTGCTGTCAAGGTTACCGTACTGGCTCAGAAAGGAATGGAATCTGTGCGGAAGAACGTGCGTGTCTTGTGAGCCCCTGAGCATCAACAAGCACGATTGCATGGAATGGTGTTGGCGTGCATGGCTTTGCCTAGCTATTCCTTCGACTGAAAAGAAATGGACTTGTAAGAATCTGTTGAAACGTGGAAGGTTCAAGACAACTCATGGACCCTCGAAAGACTTCCGTGTCTAATACATAGCTGTAGTGCCAGTTGGTACCTGAAGCCAATGCTCCATGAATCCAGAGAACATGGGTTACAGGAAACGATTGCGATGCTGTGCGATACTCCTGGGTTCAACATTATGCTTGGGCGAGCATAGTAACCATTAGTAACTAACTAACCCTGTCAAGACGTCCAACGCATCTCATGGCTTAAGCTGTCGTGTTAAGCTGTCGTGTTCGAACAAGTCACTCAAAGTTTCTGGTTGCGGCTCAAGAGTCGCAGCCATAGTCAGTAATTTTGTTTGAAACGGTTGCTCAGTATGCATTGGATTTGCCGACATTTTGTTGCGAGGCCATCGCATTGGCTGGGTTGTCTTGGAGGACTCGCAGGGTCCGAAACTGGATTCCACCAATTTATTGGGTCCAGATGTGGCGACGGTTGGGAATGCCGACACGCAGCAGGCTTTGGAAGGCACACCGCAGAGAAAGTCACCATACCTGAGTCACTACACGTCGAAGGGTTAATACATTTGCCACCAGGAGAAGCGAGGCTTGTTGTGAGTCTTTTTGAACACGGAAGGTTTGACTTCTGGCCGCATTCCATGGCAGGCCAAGCAAGCCAATGATAGCCAACGCTTTTCAGGGCATTTGAGGGTTGAATGAATTTGATGTCAGCTGCATGCACAACAAGTGGTATGGCTGCGACTGCTCTTCCGAGACACATGTGGCTAAGTAATCTCACTCGCACTTCATGCTCAAACCGAACACAGTTGCTTTGTCGGCATACTCACATTCTGACAGCAACGAGCTCACCACACTCAGCGTAGGACTGGCACCTGAGCACATCTGGGAAAAGTTGCGTAGGCTTTTCTTGTCGTTGGAGCTGGTGCAGGTTAATAGAACATATCGCACTTTGCAAGAGCAGCCGCTCCTGGACCAACCGTCGACAAAAGCGGAGACGTCGGAGACGTCCATGACAACTGTGCTTCCAGGTGTCTCGGCATCTTCAGCTCCATCTGTTTCTGCAGTATGTTACCACACTGTTACCACACTGTTTCCACACTGTTACCACACTGTTACCACAAGAATCGTGCGCCTTTGCACTGAGGTGGCTCTCTTGTGCAAGTCCAGAGGCTGGCCGATGATTGGAATGCAGGTTCGGAGCGAAGCCTTTGGCTGCAGGGGAGTGGAAGCCTTGGGTTTGTCTTGCAAAGTCTTGCAAAGTCCTGCAAAGTCTTGCAAGCTCCAGCTCTCTAAATCCTGGCTCCTTCTCAGGTGTGCTCGACGGAAAAATGGCAGGGGGATGTGGGTGGCTCAGAGGTATACGGGGCTCGCAATGTTTGGTGGACACACGGGCACAATGGGACGAAGAGAAGCTGATCATTCAAGAACTACTGGGTGGTGATTCTGCCGCTGAATCTGCGATATCTGCTCTGCGCTTACCGAAAGTTGGAAAGGCGGGTGTGGCAGCTGTCGCGGAGACACGAAATCCCTTGGAAGTTCTGGGTGCGGAACTGTCCGAAAGCCATCCTGTCCAAGAACCCGAAAGCCACGATCGTGAAATCGTCTGCGGTTTCTGCGCTTGCCGCTTGCTTCCGACCGGGAGGCGCGCAGTCAGAAATGTGAGGTGGTAAAGATTGAAACAGCTCATGGGTTCAGTACAATTCAACACGAATCTCCGCGTCTCAGTGAAGGCGGTCGACTCAATATTAACGCCAGCGGGGGCTGTGTCAGTGTGGCCGGGCATGGATGGTCATTGGGATCTATGACAGTCCATAGGGTGAGGTCCTTGAAGGGGTCCATGAAGGGGTCCATAGGGGTCCGGCGGCATGAAGGTCCATGCACCAATTGCTTGACCCTGACCTGAAACCCTGCAAGGCGTTTGCTACGTCTACAGGGAAAGCCTAGGCATCCAGCGTTTCATGAGCCAAAGTTTTGGGGGGTCCATGAGCAGTCCTTGGTCCACAAATTTCCATAGAGAATTCAAGTGTGAGGGGTCCATACCTCAAGGGAGTTGCTCTGTGCGTGGGCGTCTGGCCAGAAGAAGGAGCTCGTAGGGTCTCATACGGGCGTTGAAGTTTCCAGAGTCCACGGGTGATTCAAAAAGTCCGTGAAGGTTCCACAGGGGAGGGTCCAAAGGGAGTCCATTGCTGGTCTGCACAGGATCCACAGGCAGGGCCCTGTTTGGATGGTCCAGCAGGCTTAGGGGAAGGGGGTCGCCAGGGCGGGGTTCACAGGAGGTCGGCTTAAGATGTGCAGATGGGCTGCAGAGCCCATTCCTGCCCGGGCCCGGAGCCGTAACGGAGTCCGATGCGTGGGAGGAGGTGCGTTGTGCTTTGGCCCCAGAACGCCTTAGCCTTAGCCGTGGGTTTTGGCGGATTAGGCCTGACAGTGGTTGGGGCAGCCAGTTGCTCAGTGTCTTTGCATGTCCCTGGCAGGTTGCATCCAGCTGTTCTCCAAGAGTATGACACTTCGCTCCCAGCTGCACCTGCTGAATCGGAAGCACTTCCAAGTCAAGACTTTCAACGATGGCTGACAAGCATCTATTCACGCTTCAATCCCAGTTTGCTGCCAAAGGCTTCTGGGTTGAATCGTGGGACGCATGTTTTCCTTCTCATGTTCTTCGGAGGGGGGGGAAGCATTGTCGTAGTGGTACCTGTGGTGCCAAAGTTACTGTACTCGTAGATAGCTTTGGCCCGCTGGAACCAAAGTCCGACTCAGTATGCCCTCTGGTCTCGTTCTCACACACGTTTGTTTTCTTCTGTTGTTTTTTCATTCATGTGGAACACCGCTGTACAAGAGGGAACAACATCATGTTGGCTCGATCCACACAATGTGCCATGCCAAGAAAACACTGTGCGAGCAGGGGGCAGGAGCACCATTGAAAGTCTCCTGCCAACGAGGACATCTGCAATGCAAAGCGTTCTGGGACCCCGGGACGTGTACCTGCAGTGATGGTTATTGACATCCTGTAACGCAAGCTGGTGCATCCTCGCTGTACAACAGGAACATGGTTTTCGAGCACGGTATTTATGCATTTACAGAGCATGGATGCATTTCGTTGAGTGTCTCGAGCATGCCTTGAGCCCATCAAGCAGGAATGGATCTTCACCACAGTGTCAAGTGCAGCAGTTGGTAGATCACAGCTGTGCAGCAGAGAGTAGCAGCGCCTGATCGCGCAGAAGTGTCTTGAACACAAACCCATGGAGCACAGCTAGATTTGCTAACTTGATTGTGCAGTTTTGTTAGCCAGCTTTCACAGGTTTAGCTCAGATCAGGTGCGTAGGCCTACGCTGCGTACAACTCTACACACACGACTGCAGTGAGAGTGTGCAGTCTTGAGTGATTCGGTGCAGTGCAGGTTGATGAGCAGTTCCGGAGGTGAGCAGTGTATGGCTTGCGAGTCTGTCATTCAGACCATGAGAGAACAACACCGGAGCATGCCCTCTTCGGCAATTCACACACGTCACACTCCTCGAGGTCAGAAACCGAACATCAAAGACGTGGTCTGCGAAGCATTGAGTGCAAACGGTCGGATGATCACAGGGGACAGTTCAGACTTACGCAGCATGGCCGACACGCACAATGTGACACGCCAGTGCAGCACGTTCCAGGGTGGCCAGCATCGCGGTTGAGTGGGCATAGCTGTGTAGAGCCGAATTTAAACGCGTTTTGAGCATCGGTATATACAGAGACTTGCGCAGCAGTTCCACAGACATCCAGGAAACAGCTTCAGCACAGTTCGGTGTGCCGAGCACAGATGTTTGCAACGTTGCAACGTGTATGAAGAGCATGTGCGTGCTTTCTTTCATGTCACATAAAACTCCAGTCGTTCTCCTCTACGCCATCACTTTGCTCTTCCACCTCTACTCCTACGCCCCTCTGTGTGTGTGCAAGGTTCCGGAGTTCATGAAGAAGTACAGAGGCAGAGAGCCTGAGCTTGTTGAAAGCATTTGCTGTAAGTATCGTGTCGCTGCACCTCCTGGGTGGTGTAAGGTGGGCTAATATGGTCCAGCTTCATCAGTGTCAGGATGTTCAGGGTGCAGGCAGAACCATGCCTGTGCCGGAGTCGCGCATCGCGCCAGATGATGCAGCAAACACGTCAGTCATCACTGGGTAGTCTGCATATTAGCTGGCCATGATCTGCAGTATACTCCATCAGGCTCCTTGTGCAAGTCAAGCAGCCAAACTATGTCAAGGACAAACAGGAACATGCGAAGATTGCTTCTTGGCCTGTACCTCAACCATACTCCACCGTGCAGATGGCGCAGCACCAGCTGCAATCATCAGTCGGCAAGCAGAGATTTACCCAAAAACTCGCGCAGTACATTCAAGACACAATGGCACTTCAAGATCATAAATGTGCCTGACCGCCTCCGCCAAGATCTTCAAGCAGCTCGGCTTGCACTGCAAGCGCTGACTTTTGTTGTGGCGATTTCTTTGGCTTTTGCTGTCACCGCGTTTGCCTGTGCGCGTTGCTGTTGCTGCTGCTGGTGCTGCTGCTGCTGCCGCCGCTGCTGCTGCTGTTGTTGTTGTGGTCGTGGTCGTGGTCGTCGTCGTCGTTGGTCTTGTTCTTCTTCTTCTTATTACTATTTCTTCTTGTTTTTGTTCTTCTTGTTGTTTGTTCTTATTCTTCTTCTGGCTGCTGGTGGTTGTTGGTTGTTGGTTGTTGGTTGTTGGTTGTTGGTTGTTGGTTGCTGCTTCCTGCTTCCTGCTTCCTGCTTGCTGCTTGCTGCTTTTTGGTTGCATTGGTTGTTGGTTGTGGTTGTCGTTCTCGTTCTCGTTCGGGCTGGGGAATGCTGGGGGTTGTTTTGTTTGGTTGGGTTGTTTGGTCCTTCGGTTTGTCGGTTTCGCCGCTCTTTTCGCTTCTCTAGACTCGCGAGACTACATGTGCTGGCGCGTTAATATTTTCTTGTGAGGTACAAGCCCCTGTTTGAAAGAGTTACGGACAATAATTTAGAGCGTTCCATGTTCGCGATCGTCGGCGAATGCCGCTTCCCTGCCTAGACGGTGTCTGCTGCTGCGGCGCTGCTACGCTGCTACAAGTAGCATTGATCGTTGATGGGCAGCCTCGCCCTCGCATACATGGTGTTGACAGGGTTTGGTCTGACTCGCCCCGTTTGCCCCTTTGTGGGCATTGTTTACAGAGCATCTGAACACTGCAACACAAAACAAGTACGCTTCAACTTGTTTGCACTGATTGCGTAGGTGTTGTTACTGGTGTTTCGACAAAGTTGTGGGTGACGAGTGTCGAGGTATGCATGGCGCACCTTGCAGCCTAGAAGGGCTGGAAGGCCAGGGGCGTCAAACTTCGGTGTTGATTCTTTGAGTATAACGGGCGTTGCCATGCAAGTCCAACAGGGATTAATATAATATTGAATTAAATTTTACCAGCGCATGCTGGCGTAGACCCCAGACAGTCTAAGACATTTCAAGAGAGCATTCCCCAAGAGCACTCCAAGAACACACAAGTCTGCACTTCACGAACGAGTAGCAAGGCGACAGCATCGACAGCTCCTCATTGAGAACACTGCGAAAGGATGCGAAATGCAGGTCTCCTATGACGGACGAAGCAAACATCCAACTGCGCTTTCACGGAGCGAATTTTCCAGAGACAGAGACGAAAGAAGCAACGACGCAGGGTCAAAAACCTTAAAACGACCAGTCAACACTGGGGCAAGTGCTGGGATGTCCAAAGATGGCTTCTTGCTTTGCGCGTTTTCTAAGGATTGATGGCCACTCGAATGACACGCACACGGGCACACTATATCACACTATTACCATCTCAACGCTCGCCCAGAGCCAGAGATGTAGTTTGTGGTGGCACCACATGTCACATGAGATAGACATGCACAGTTTCATAATGTTTCATATGTTTTCCCTTGGATGCTCAAACGTTTCGGCATCGGAAGGGGAAGGAACGTCACGTTTTCCCTCGAGGGTGCGCCTAGACGCGCGGGGTTGGGAGCTAGCCGCTTTCCTCACACCCTGGCCGCAAACGAACAAAGTTGAAGAAAGAAGGAAGGAACCCAATAATTACGTCCCATTTGGCTTTCTGTTTCACGTCAACGTCGAAAAGGTCACATGAAATTGAACCCGAAGGGGCTGGGGATGTTGCCTGTGGGCAAGCAATCACGCCGGGAGATCAGATGAGACTCGGCGTTGACCTGAAGCCCACTGCGAAGAAGAAAGAACGAAAGCAACGAATGTCACATAAGTTGCATGAGCGTCAGAAAATCGGCAGCAGAAGCAGAACGACAGAAGCAAGTAACGAACGAGGTGCTGCAGAAATAACGAGCAAGCAAAAGAAATTGATTCCAGTAGAAAAGGGAACCATGCGCCGAACCCACCTTGCAACCCCCGTGTCTTTAAAAGCTGAGCATGCTTCTTCTACAAAACATCTTCCGGTCACTGTTCTGTGAATGCGCAGTGGTATCTTTGCAAACGGGAATGGGAGGTGTTGGACGTGATCACCAGGCTATGCTGGCAAATGCTGAATGGAGTT